CAGAGCTGGAAAGCTGTCCTGTAAGCACAGAGCCAAGAGCGTGGTGCCCTGCATTGGTAAAGCATTTGGGAACCTCCCAGTTGCTCCTTTTTCAGTGCTGGGTTGTAATTGCACCCAGCACTGGGTCGATTCACAGCAATGATACTGGAAAAGGACCTTTTCCTGCTCATGGGCTGTGAGATTGAGAACATGTGAGTCAGTGTTCGATGTAGTGGAAGATGGAAAGAACCATGTTGATTTGCAGCCTGGAAGAGGGAAACATGGTGGCTGTGACTGATGAATTGCTGTGGTGTAGCTGTTACATTAACTTGCAGATACATGGAGATTCCACATGAGCGTGAAGTATTTTCCCTAAAACTCTCCTGACCTAAAGGTAGTTAAACAGGCTTTTATTAGTGCAAGCTGAGAAGAAACAGGGAATTCAAAGTTCAATGAAATGCTGTTAAGTTGTAGCCTTTCCCATGTCATGTGGCAGTGAGACAGAGCTGTAGTGAGTGGTGGCACTGATGGGGCAATCTCTCCTTGTCCCCCTTGTCCCCGTGCCCAGGTAGCAACGCCGCCTTCCTGCGTGTGGTGCGCTGCCGCTCGCTGGCTGAGGAGCACAGCCCCAACTCCTGCTGCAGGGATGCAATCAGTAAGTACTGCTGCTTGCCACAAACCTCACTGTGTTTCCACCTTGGAATGGTTTGGTGAGGAAAAGGAAATGTAAGCTACATGTTCTGTTGCATTACGCAGTTTTATCATTTGGATGTTACAAAGTCTTCGGTGAATTAAAATAAATTCTTAGTGTAGGGAATATCTCTCTCTACTACAGTTATGGAGATTTAGGTCTAGAATGTTGAATTCAATTTGATTTAGAAATTTTAGAAATTATCTTACAGATTGATGCATGTTTCAGCTTTTGTTTTCTTGTGGATTTTACTTGTAGTACTCTATAAATAAAACTGGTTTTTTTCAAACTTCTCTTTTCTGTACCTCAGTTATTTCTGACAGAGCTGAAAAGGTGCTTTAACCTGACCAAATTAAAATAAAAATAATTATCTTGACCCCTTTCAGCTTATCTTTCTAGGATGTGAACTAACAAACTAGTTACCTGATACTGCTTTTTAATTGCCTTTTAATTTTTATTTTTTTTTGAGCCGGGCATAAGTAGCAGTTAGTATTTACAAAGACTACTGAGCTGTGTAGTAAGGGATTTAAGACCTGTTTTATAATTACAGTCATTACAGATAATACTTAAAGCATGTGTTTCAAATCCTAAAATTATAACTAAGGAATACCCATTTAAATTAAAGCAGCTGCCAGAATTGAAATGTGAGTTTCTTCACTGAATAGTTTATATTAAATACATAAAATATGGTTTGTCATAACCTTTGGAGGCAAAATTGTGTATCTGACAGCTGTTTGATTAAGGTTCTGTCACATGTTGTATTCATTGAGGTTTCTTTCTACTGCAGATTTTCCTATTTGTTTTCAGGGAATTCAAAACATTGTTTTTTTCCATTCCATCTGCGCCAGCTAACTGGTTCTCTTGCTGTTTTCAGTTTCCCATATGGATAACCCAGACAGTGAAATAGTGCTGTACTTGATGCTGAGGGCTGTCAATAGGTTTTACAAGCAGCATGGCAGATACCCAGGTATGTTAATACCAGTTAGTTCGCATCATAATAAAGAGATCCAATAGTTACAGTAGCTCAAGTTATAAACTGCAAAAATATCAGTTGTGATTTTATTTCCATAGTAATACAGCTTTGGGAATGTGAAAACTAGAAAATTTAGAAAAATTTAGAAAATTAGAATTTTTTCTCTTCAGGAACTTAAGGAATTTATCTGAATTGGTATCATTAATGGGATGTGTGGACTATGAATCAGTTCAGCTATGCAGTAATTTGCTTATCATGAGAAGCATCAACAGAATATTAAATTATTATTAGTCTAGTAGTAATAACACAGTAATTGGCTTAGAAACTTTAGGAAAACAAAACCATTAGCTTTGACTGTGATCTTACAGTTGTGTGATGAAACAGTTGATTTATTTTCCAGGTGTCTACAACTACCAGGTGGAAGATGATATTGGAAAGCTAAAATCATGCCTTACTGGTTTTCTCCAAGAACATGGGCTGTCTGTAGTGGTGAAAGATGACTATGTGCACGAGTTGTAAGTGTTGTTTTTGAGGTGTGGCTTTGTTGGTAAAACTGCCAGGCGGTTTGTGACTGTTCCTTTCCTGTGCAGTTGTCGCTACGGAGCTGCCGAGCCTCACGCTGTTGCTGCGTTCATGGGAGGTAAGGATGACACAGGGCCACACAAACAGCAGCCTGCTCAGCCACAGCTCTGCTGCCTTAATTACTCTGGACTCTCAGAGAAAAGGCTGTAGTCACAGATGGCAGTAGGGCACAGTCCTCCCCTTCGTTCTCAAGACGTGACCTCTTACAGTACATATAGAGTAATTGATTGCACCAAGGGTTCTAATCAGTAAAATAAATAAACTTCAAAAACAATCAACTCTTCAAGCTTAAAAATGTGTTAGGAAATGAAATGCTGGAAAGCGGTTTAATTTTTTTAAAAAGGAAATTGATAATTATAGTAATTTTAAAATTAGTGCAGTACATATCTTCTTTTAAGATAGCACACATATGTTAAAGATCTATGAAATATAAGTAGCCTTGGATTCTTACGTAATTCATTTGAACTGCACATGTATTTTAATGGATACCCAAAATTGATATATCAATTAACCTCTTTATTTGGCTTCATGCAGTGCTGAAGACTTTGTATTCTGCATATGTAGGAATTATTTTCTGATAAAGCAAAATTTGGTATACATAAAGGTAATTTCTGAAGAAGTTACAGAATGTTTCTTACTACAGGAAAACTCAGAGGGAGCACACTGAAGTGATGCTTCAGTTTATTTTGCAGTTAAATTTTACCTTTTTTTTTTAAATTCAGCTCCTCCGATGAGAGAGGTCGCAACTTGCATGGGTTTGTCTGCTCACCCATTTTTATTCTGCGTGTCTGTACATGGAGAGGAAGTGTATGCAAAGCTAGCTTTTGAAGTAGCAGCTTTCTGATCTTCTTTTACAGTGGGAAATACTGAAGGGCATTTTTGCCTCCTAGGAGATTTATCAGGCACTTCTGAAACAATTCCACTGTAGGGACTTCTAGATACGTAACACTTATTTTACTGTTGTTTAAATATGACCTGCTAACTGCCTTCTGTTTTTTCTTCTCTTTTGCAGGAGCTGCTGCACAGGAAGTTATCAAAGTCATTACACGGCAGTTTGTAATTTTTAATAACACCTTTATTTACAGTGGAATGTCACAGACTTCAGCGACTTTCCAGCTGTAGGATAAGCTCTTGAATTTGATGCCTCCAGGCGCTGCTGCTGCTGTATTTACAGTTTTGACAATATTTACAGTTCTGTAAATACTGTGGTGTTCTGCCACTGACTGGACTGTTATGTTCTGTATTACCTGCCAATTAAAGTTTCTTCATTTGTAATCATCTTCTTTTTGTTGTTGTTTCCTGAGGACAAATAAAATCATACTATATCCTGACAATCCTTTAAAATCTAGAAACTTTTGACTCACCTCTGAAAGAAAAAGGCAGTAGCTGTTTTTGGCAGGGTAAGTTGCATTTGCAAATTGGCTCACCTCACTGGCAGCAGAACTGCATTTTTTCTTATAGAAGTTGCTCATCAGCTTGAGTGGGGAGAAGGTGCAAAAGGATGAGAGAGGCTGGTGGAGCTCTGATGGTCTGAGGATTCAATGGTGCAAAGAGCTGGAAGGTGAAATACATTTTATAGAATTCAGGGTCATTAGGGAAAGGGAGTGTGTGCTTGAAAGCTCAGTTCTGTCAGCCATATTCACCTAGTAAAAGGTTTTTTCCTGCACCTGTGTGTGTGGCCAATGCCAAGGGATGGCAGCTCTTTCTGTTGTGGGGGCATTGCAGCCTCCAACTGCAGAGCATTGAAATGTGTTTGCCAGGGCTCTGTTTTGGGGCTGGTCCTGGTTAACATCTTTATTGATGATCTGGAGGTGGGGATTGAGAGCACCCTGAGTGAATTTGCAGATGCCCAGTTGGGTGGGAATGTGGATCTGCTAGAGGACGGGAAGGCTCTGCAGTGAGACTTGGACAGACGCGATCAACGGGCCAAGGACAAAGGCGTGAGGTTCCACAAGGCCAAGTGCCACATCCTGCAGGTCACTAGCCACGTCAGTGTGAGCCAAAGTGTGCCCAAGGGACAAGAGGCCAAGGGCACCTGGCCTGTATCAGCAGCAGTGTGAGCAGCAGGACCAGGGCAGTGCCTGGCCCTGTGCTGGGCACTGCTGAGGCCACACCTCGAGTGCTGTGCCCGGCACTGGGCCCCTTGTGAAAAAGGACATTGAAGGGCTGAGGGTGTCCAGAGAAGGGCAGCAAGGCTCACAAAGGGTCTAGAAAACATGCCCTATGAGGAGCAGCTGAGAGAGCTGGGTTTGTTCAGTCTGGAGAAGAGGCTCACGAGGGACCTCACTGCTCTCTCCAACTCCCTGACAGGAGCGTGCGGTGAGGTGGGGCCGCTCTCTCCTGCTCGGCCTGCAGTGAGAACCAGAGGAAGTGGCCTCACGTTGAGAGAAAATTCAGGTTAGAATTTAGAAAAAAAAATTTCTAAACTGTTCAGGTGTTCAGGCCTGGGAATAGGTTGGCCAGGGAGGTGGTGGAGCTGCCCATCCCTGGAGGTGTTAAAGAGGCCTCTGGATTTGACACTGCGAATGGATTACTGGCTTAGGGTTTGCAGTGGCAGTGCTGGGCTAACGTTTAACTGGATGGTCTTAAAGATCCCTTTCATCCCTGACGATCCTACAATTCCAAGTGCTTCCTGCCTGGCCGGGGGAAGGCTCAGGGCTGTCCCCAGTCCAAGGGCGGCCGCGCCCTGAGGCGCTCGGGCGGCGCTGCGGCTGCGGCGTCTCCTGAGGGGCTGGGCCGGGCGCTGCCCTCAGCTCCGCGAGATCCCATCCCTCAGCCCGGTGGGGGCTGTCGCTGTCCTTCAACCAGGAAATCCCACCACTCAGTCCGGCGATCCCTGAGCTCGGCGTTCCCATCCCTCAGCTCGGCGACCCCACCTCTCAGCCCGCAGATCCCATCCCCTCAGCCTGCAAATCCCGTCCCTCAGCCCGGGCGATCCCATCTCTCAGCCCGGAGACCCCGTCCCTCAGCCCGGCGATCCCACCCCTCAGCACTCGGCAGCGGGCACCCGCCTCACCTCGGGGTCTGTCTGGAGCCACCCACGCCGCTGATCACAGGTACCTGAGCCGTGCCCCATTTCCCCCCTCGGGACTCCCCGGCCTTCCCATAGAAGAATGCAGCTGCTGTTTTAAAGAATGCTGCTTTAGACTGTTGCCTTCCAACCCCACCCCGCCCCACCCCCTTTTATTTAAATTTTTAAAATATTCTTTCCCTTTTCTATTTGGGCGGATCTGGAGTGTTTTCTAAGAGGTCAAAGTGGAGCTCTGATAATGAGCTGTAAATCACACGCGCGAGTAGACTCCCTCCTCCCTGCGAGGGAGCCGAAATAGGCCAGGACAGCCCCAAGTGCTGCTCCACAGCGCAGCGTCCTGCCGGCCTCAGCTGCTGCTGTGGGCTTTGGTTTCCACAGACGCCAACAACGCGCACTTCTGCCCTCTGGGCTTTGGTCCCTGGGTTTCGAAGGGTGAGTCCCGCCGAGGCTGGCTGGCCTGCTGACTGTGCCAGCCGTGTGCTCTAGTGCTGCTGAGCACACACATTGGCAGATCTGCACTTCTCCAGGACTGGTTTCTGAGGTTTGAAGCAATGTTACTGGGTTATTTTCCATAACTGATGGAGAAGGGTTTTATATGCAAATCTAGTTGTTTGTCTTTCCACCTTGCCCTGTGATGCAACAACTGAGGTGAGCTATTTGCATCTAATTAATGTAGGCTGGCTTATAAATACTATTTTGTGTACCTTCTGTAGGTTGCAAAAGTAAAAAATACCCAGGTAAAGTCAAGATGTATCCTTGTATACATACAGTTTTAAACCCCTTGTGCTTCCTATATTGCATAATTGTATAAACATGTCTTAAACTCTTCTGAAAAGCAATTAGCTCCAGAGTGAACTCATTTTTACAGCCTTCCTTTTGTTTGGGTGGGTTTTGTTTTTTCTTAGGCTGGCCGGGTGGTAGCAGTAGGATGAAAAGAGGTGAGGAAGGCTTGCAAGCTTTTGCCTGTTGTGGCAGGGTTGGATTTGCAGGAAAATGAAATGCATGTCTGTTCTCACTTCTGAAAGGCTGCAGGGAGATGAGCTCTCTCAGTTGTCGCTGTGTAACAGAAGCAGCAAAGGCATGGGGGTGATCAGTAGCACTCAAGTGAAAGCAGTCTTCATTAAGATGACAGTGATTCTGCTTCGAGCCTTTGCTCCACTTTGAGAAGGAAAACAAATCCATTATTAAGCTGGATTTGCCACTGATTTAAAGTTTCTACCTGGAGCTAAGTAATTTTTTGAGAAATTGTCAGAGGTTACTGTGATGCTTGCATCAACCTTCTGTGTTTGGGACTTGGGGCATGTTTGAGGGAGCATCTTTCTGCCTCCAAAGCTGAATGTCACTCTGCTGCTCTGCTCTCAGAGGCTGCCACGCTGGGTTTGTGAAGAATCAGTGCTGTGGGGTTTTGTGGGTTACATGGTTCATGTAATGTGACAGTGTCTTTGGTGAATTGCAATGAGTTCTCACTGTAAGGAAGATGTCTCTGTGCTCATTGCCTTTGGTTTGATCAGTACTGCCAGAGCAACGCTGATGGTTTAGTGGCTCCTTGAGCAGCAGGAGGCTGAGTGTTTGCTAGTGTTCAGCCCCGAAGTAACATTACTTGGCCTTAGTGCCAGTTGTTGGCTGACAGCCAAGTTGGCCACTCTCGTAAGGAAAATTGGATCAGCTTTGTTGTGATCAGTGACACAGAGCAGGGGATATTCTTTACTGACAGTGCCCCTCAGTGGTAACATGGAATTACCTGATTTCTGCAGAATGCCTGCTCTCAAAAATGATAACCTGGTAGCTAGAAATGCAGGGTTATCATAAAATATTGTATTTCCAAAGGAAAACTTTGCCATACAAGAATACATTAAACTGTGTGTGTGTGAGATGACAGAGTAAAAGCAGAAAACTGGAAAGTGTGTTTTAGAAAAATGATGTCATTTATACTGCATATGTTGTAAACACTGCTAACCTGAACAGACATGAAAACACTTTTTCCTTGCTGTTGTAGAACAAGAACAAAGATAAAACAAAAATGGACACTCAAAAGGTGCAGAAAAATCAGTGTGGTAAGAGATCTAGTATAATTTGTCATTACAATCTGCATCAATTTACAGAGTTTTAGCAGACTGTGTTAGGCCTGTTGTGGTGTGGTTAACAGCTGGGAAAACATACTTTTTCCCAGCTGCCAAATTTGGATATTGTATTGGATATGCAAAGGGTAAATCCAATGACAAACCTACACACATAGTAAAGCACACCACCACAAAGTCACTTGAAAAAAAAAATCACTAATATTCATCCATGTTTTTATTGTATTGTAACTTTGTTAATAACCCCAAACCTTGTAAGGATTTACAAGAAACCATACCTTCTGTCACTGTTGGAAATCATTATCAAATAAGTCTTTTAATTGTACCCCAGTGTCTAAGAAGCAGATTTTGCAAGTCTGTTGACCCACCTAGGGCTGTATGTAGGTGCCCAGAGAATATTTTGTGTTACGTCTCCAACCACCTGATGGAGGGCTCTGCTGCTGTGCTGCATGATTTATGTCTCCTGTAACTCAGTGCCACGGAGCAGCCTTGTGCTCTTGGACTCTTTCCTTACTACTCCATAGGGTTTCAAGTGCACTCTGAATTTTGTTTGCACGCTGAATACTTTAATGGCTGTGTATTATTTACACTTAATGCACCTTGCAATTGTGAATTTAATATTTAGCAATTTACATCAGACTTACTAAGAGTTCCTAGTAATTAAAGGCCAGAAATGTTAAAGGGGGGCTGTTAGTCTGCAAAGGAAATCATGCTCAAATAACAAACTATGGACAGCAATATTTCTAGGTTTGTAGTTTGTGGCTGAATAGAAGTGAGGTAGCTCCATTTTGGCTCACTTTCTCCCCTTTGTTAAAATATATGTACATACTACATTTTGGACAGGTTTATTCTAATACTGACTAGATTCATATATAGAAAATATAACAATTTTAATGATTTTTTTTGTGTTTGCTCCTAGATATGAAAACAGATCTGAACTTACTGCTTGAATGCCTTAAATATCAGATGGACTGCCCTCTGTCTCAGAAGGAGGCTTTGATCACTATCTATTCCATTTGCCAACAAAACAGTAAGAAAGGCTTTTCCTTGGAAACAACACAGTCATTTATGTTCACCATGTATGCTAAGAAACTGCACTGTAAAAATGTTGTCTAAAGGACATAAGGTTTGAGATGCTGGAAAATCTTAGGAGCCTTTCATTTTGCAGAGAAACAAAAGCAAAGTTTCTGTTCTTTTTTGCTCTTGTAGGTGAAGCAAGCGAATACTTTCGAGAAATTGGTGGTTTGATGTTTATAAATGACCTTGCCAAGGCGAGTGCTCATTGCATCGTAAAGGAAGCAGCTTTATTTACATTGGGGATTATTATAGAGAGTGATGGTAATAAAAATAATATTGTTTGTATTTCTGAGTGCGCTATGGCCCCCTGACGTTACTTGTGCTCCTGCTTTGTCTCCATTTCTTTTGGTCTCCCAAAATGAGACGACAAGATTGTCAGTTGGAGCAAGGGCAGTGAAGGTGCCCTGTCCATCCCCAGAACTGAAAAGTGCCTTGTTGATTTGTGCACGTAGAGTGTCTTTAAGTTGCCAGACACCTGCACTCTCCCTCTGCCTCAGCAGCAAGTGTTCAGTGACGCCTGGATTGTTCCAAAGCTTGCCAGAGTCCTGGCTGGTGTAGAGCTCACTGCAGGGGAAGCCCCCAGTCACTTCATAGTCCTGCCCTGTCTCCACTCGCCACATAGTGGCCACAACTGAGACTTAATAATTTAGTATTGTGAGTAGCTTACTTTAGGACTTAATGGTTTTCCCTTTCTGTTTTCAGTGTATTGTCAACAGACTTTGTGTACTTCTGCATTGTTTGAAGACCTCATTTTATTTTTAATTAAAAAGGATTCTGGTGTGAACTTGAAAAGAATGTCTGTTTATGTCATCTTAGTACTGGTTTCAAATAATAGTAAGTTGGGTTTTTTTCTGTGTTACATTTCTTTTCTATTTGCCAATCTGCAGTCCAAAATTTGGAACATTGACTAAGTAATGTTTTGGTGAAGTTAATTAATAAAGATGAATGTTTGCATGTAACTGAACCTGAATTGTCAAAGTAGGTTATTGCTCCCTGGGATTTCCTTGAACAGCAGAATGTGGTTTAGTTCTAAAAATACAGTTTGCAAATGCAAACCCATAGTTTCTGAGAGTGTCTAGAAAGAGAGAAACATAGAAAGGTTTTTTACCAATATGTTGACATGATTTTGTATTTCCTTCTGGGAGGATATGTGCTTAGGAAAGAGAATGTATGTATGTAAATGAAACTTGATGTTAAGATTTTGTCTGCAGCTGCATTTGTCTCTGGAGTCTCATGTGTGTTCTCTTTTAGAAAATGGGCAAACCTGTGTCAGAGATACAGGCTGCATCAGCCTGCTGCTGCAGTTATTCAGGTAAACAGGGTTGCAGTTCAAAGAGACAAATAATAGACTGGTTAGCAGCCATGTTTCCTTAACTGTTTGGGACTTGTTTGCACTGTCCTTAACAGAACAACTCTCTCCACCTCTGAGAAGAATCTGTCAGCTAAAACCACTGATCCCTGCTATCAGCTCTGGTCCTCAGTGTGCAGCACTCTCTGTGCCTGTGTCAACAACCCCCAGAACGGTAGGTGTTGCTCTGAAAGTTGTGGAAGAAGTTCAGAGATATTCTCCAAATCGGTAGCACTTTGGTTTCATTTCATTGGGTTTTGATTGGGGGTAATTTGTTTTTACTTTTCCAGAAGATAACCAAAACATTTGCTGTTCGGTTTTTCCCTATGCCAAAGAGTGGCTCGAGAGTTGCACAGAGCCTGAGATAGTTCGTCCCATTTGTTCATTTCTTGGTCTCACAGTTGCAAATAACTGTAAGTGCAGCTCAAGCTTTACACAGTTTAGCATTTGAGAAAAGGAAGTTTAATTAGAGAGTTAAATGGTTTTTTCTTTCCTGTCAATCTCTACAAAGTCATTTGCTGTTCTTCCAACTTTTACTCTGACCTCTGTATTCCACCATCTTTACTTACACGACGCTGTGCTCAAGCCCACAAATAGCCACAATCTGGTTACGTTTCATAGGGTCAGGAAAACTGTTTGGAGGTGTTTTGATGAAAAGTGTGTCTAAATTGAAGTCCTTCTTACATGACTGAAAACAATGACTTAGGTAGAACTCGGGCTTGATGTTTGCCATTTGTGTGCACATATTAGGGTCCTGTTTTCCTGTAACTATGTTATATGCAGTTACTCCATTTCTTGAGATTAATGTATATCCAGCTTCTGTTGTATAAGAAATGGAATGACTAACACATGCACAGAAAAGCTCTGATGGACTTAGTTGGTGAAATGCTAAAATAATTTGCAAACTCTGTTTGCTTAAATCACGTTTTTTCTTTTTTCCACTAAGCATATGTGCAGAAATATTTTGTTTCTATTGGAGGATTGGATACATTAGCCAAAGTTCTCCTTGAGCTTATGCATGATTCCTGTTTGAGTCACTCCAGCATGAAACTTGCAGTGGTAGTAACAAAGACTCTGGATGCCTGCATTGCTAATAACTGTGAGTGGCAAGACATTTTTTATCTATGGTAATTTTCAAATGCAATTTTAAAAGTCTTGTGCTGGTGGAAAAGTTGTAGAAATGAATGCTTTAAGGCAGTTAAGTAATGTACATCCCAGTGGATATAGCAGTGTTTTTTAAAACTCAGAGGTGTAAGTGGGGAGTGATTCAGTTCATTTGAGGTGGATTACCATTGTTGCTAAAATAAATACAGTGAAATTGAAACCCAATTGAAAATTAAAAATAGGATGCCACAGCTCATGCTGGGTAAGTAAAGCTGAGCTCTGGGCCTGGATTTGGTCAGTCAGTTTGGATCCTGGAGTTAGGCCTATGCCTGGATATTAAATTGTGTAGCTTTGGGAAGCTTTAGTAATTCAGAGGTGGAGCTGCACGAATGTGGTGTTTCTGCACAGCACACCCTGCTCTGGTTTGCTGGCTGGGTACTGCTCTCCTGATGAGGTCTTGTGTTTTCCACACAAGGTTTGCAGAAACCTGTGATCCTGACGAGCCTGTGCTGTGGCCATGGTTGGTGTATCTCACACTTGTGCCATAAGAGCTTCAAATGGAAGTCCACAAAAGTTGAAGAGCATAAGCCTGCACTAGTTCTGAGGGTAGTTTCAGATCAGTTGGGTGTGACAGGACTAGGCCTCAGCATGGATGGACTAGCAGTGGTGTTGCCAGTGCCAGGAAGGGCTTGCCCCCTGCTCTTCTTATGGCAGATACTCTGTGTGTCAAAGCTGATTCAACTCTGGCTCCATGCTAGAGCTGATAAAGGACATGGAGAAACTCAGCAGGGATCTCCAAAGCTTGCACAGTGCCAAGCCCTCGTTCATCAGATCTTCTGCCTCATCTCCATGGAGCACAGGCTGGGAGGATAGGCAGGGCTGGATTTGGGAGCAGCACAGGAGGGATGGGGTCATCTGAACAGTTGGAGGTGGAGCAGAGCAGGGCTGAGCAGGCCCACGGCTTTGAGGGGTTTGTAGAGTTTCCTCAAAACCCAGCATTTTATCCTTGGAGAATTCCTGTACACTCATGACTGACTTTATTTTCCTTCCAACTGTTTCAACAAACAGCTGCCATGGGTGTTGTCTTGGCACAGTATCACACTGTGTCAGAGCTGCTGAAGCTGCTGTCCAATGAGACACTGAGCACAGGAGAAAAAATCAGTATTATTCTAACAATTGGACACTGTACTGAAGTTTGTGGTAAGATTTGCTTTTTCTTTTTCCTGTCAGCTTCTCCTAAATTCTCGTACACTGACTCCTCCAGTGGTGTCACTTCATCAAGACTAGAAAACGAGAGACAGTTCTCTTAAATGCTATAATGTCAATATTTGGATAAAAAGTTTCTATAATGTTCATCTTTAACTTTTAAAGCTTATTAGCAGGAAGTGTCTCTAGTAGCTTTGAAAAAGTAGACTAAATATGCAAGAATTCAGAGCTGGGCTTAGGTGTCACAGGGAAGAGTGAATCCAGACCTGAAAGCTACTGCAATCCAGACACAGCAAGTGGGTTGTCTTGAGCACCCTTTTCATGGTCCTTGGAACATACAGTTCTGTCCACTGCTTACAAGGCAGTAATATTTGTAAGAGCCATGTAAGAGCATTGGTTTTCAAGACAGAGAAGCAGTAGGTAGCCCTGAAATGTTTTGTCATGTTCCTCAGGGCTTGCCCAAGCATATCTGGCACAAATGCAGCACTTCAGTTGGTATTTTGTGGTAGTGCAAGCAAAGAGAAAGGGAAGTTCATTTGTAGTCCTGTTTTTTCACATGTGTGTTTAGATAAACAAGAAAAAGGCCTTATGTTCAAAAATCGTGGTTGGTTTTCATCCTCTGAGTGCCAATAACATGTTCAATGATTAGCTCAATAGGACAGAAATTTATTGTAGCAGACATTTTTTCATGAAGAATTAGTGAAACAAGACTTAATGGAAAATGTCTTTTGAATAGAAAAATGATTAAAGCAACAGAAAAAAGGTTTCTCTTAAAATGTCAACACTGTCAAAATAAAAGTGTTTACTTTTCTAATTTCCTTTTTTATTAAGTTTAAAAAGAAAGAGCTATGTTTAGCAAGTTATCAGTTCTAGGAATACATATGCAAATGAGGTCACAATAAAAATTAAGCTAATTACATAATGAATGAGGAGGAACAGATTGGCTAGAGCAGGATTAAACTACTAATTTTATTTTGCTGATTATAAACCTTGAGATTTTGATACTTCTGCATCACAGGCCTCACTGAAATGTCGCATATCTACTCCAAGAGCAGGCAATGGAAGAGAAGAAGTACAAGAGTCATTATTCAAATGCTTTAGGCCACAATTAAATGAGCTTGGAACTCCATCATATAATTTGTCTCAGTAGTCATCCTTCAGTTTTCTTGCAGTAATCTGAGTTGTGGTCAAATCATCCTGTGGGATGTAAAGCTCTCCTGCTGTCACTGCAGCAGGCTTGGGTCTGTAATGAAAATCTCTCTTTCTACAGAAACTTGCAGAAAGTTGCCAGTATTGGCTGCTAAAATTACTGTAAGGTTAAGGTGTGTGGGGCTGAAACCAAACCTTTCCTTTGCCATGTCCTGTTCTAGAAGAAAACCAGTGTGAGCTGCTTCAGAACAATGGTCTGCCACTTATGATTCAGGTATTGACAGAATCTCAGGATGAGGAACTCATCAAAGCTGCTACTTTTGTGCTGCAGAACTGCAAACAAATGAGTAAGCTTGCTGTTACTGCTTTAAAAATGACAGTGATTGTTTCCATCTCTGTGTCCTGCTGATTCCCCAAGTGATTTTAACTGTGGCAGCTTTGTAATTCTGTGGACTCCTAAAGATGTTTGTTTTCTGCACAGAAAGTTGCTTATTTGTCATCAAGAACTGACTTAGGCAGAAAAAAGAGAAGTAAGAATTCCAGCAGTGTTGCAATAATGCATTTGTGAAACCTCTCCATGTAGGGCCAGTTCTTAAAGCTTTCCCATCTATAAAGTGTGTGGAAAATATGAACATTGTCATTTAACACCCAGTGGATACTCTCTTCCTGGGGATGTAGCACTAGAGGGAGAGAATAAACCAGGAGATAATCAAGCCTGAAATCACTGTGTCTGCATTAATTTCCACTATTAAGAAATCTTGATTTTTTTTTTTTTTCTGAAGTAGGATGTATTTTTTGGCCCCATTTCAGTTTTTTATTAATTATCTGTACAATACCTCCCATGAAACAGAGAGACCTTGTCCTGTGATCTCTAGAGCGTGGAGGGTGTGCAATTGCCAATTAGAAAAAATAAACCAGTATCTACATTTCTGTGCTGCAAGCACAACTGAGAGGTTTGTGTAAGATTGAGGGGGTGTGTGGGAGACCTGATTGTAAGAGAATAGCGAGAGTGCTGCAGGCAGTCTCACCCCTGATAAGGTGCAGCTGTGTAAAAGAGGTGACCATTGTTAAGGGAAAAGGAGCGCAAATGCTGAAGTGCACTGAGCAGTCACAAGGGGGTAAAAGGGCACACGGGTGTTATGATACTGCAAAACGCTATAAAAGGCTGTATTGGGGAATAATCAAGTGCTGATGCTTGAAGGTGTTAATGGTGTCAGTCTTGTGTCCTCTGTCAGGGGTGTGGGGCTTTGTAGTGTCCATTAATACTGTGTTTTTATAGTGTTCATTAAAATTGATTTTTGTAGAAAAGTAGAGACTCATACTGGTCCAGAACCCAGAGTTAAGTCAATGCAAAAGTCTTTTTTTTTCCACAGCAGCATTGTGAAAGCAGTTTACAAGGAACTATGATTGCAAGTTCACCTCTTGTAACTGCAGCTTATATTTCAAGTGTGTTAACATTTATGTGTAAGTTTCATAAAAATTGTTATTTTGCAATAAATTATTGGGGCTGGCCCTCACCATACTAAAATATAATAAATACCTTTTAAGAGTTACTTGATAAAATTTTAGTGGATTTTTATATTTTATGAAGCTGAACAGTTGTCTCTGAAATTATATGATAACTCATTAAATGTGAACAATGCAGAAGAATTGGATGTGCAGGTCAGAAAAAGATGTCTGCAAGACTACTAGAAGAAAGCAAAAGAAATTTTACACAGAATAAACTCAATTGAAAAACAGCATGATGAGGTTGGCCTACTTGCCAAAACAGGATGAAACTAATCACATCTTTCCAGAGTTTAAAGAGAAAGCAAAAGTGAATCCTTAAGATAATTTCATTGTGAGCAGAAAACCCAGGAAAAAATGTTGGATTTGTGTGAAACTACAACCTGCAACTTTTATCAGTATTGTAGATCAGACCGAGTTACAGGTGTGCAGAGAATGGAGGCATCTGTATTGTATGAAGTATTGTAGTTTACTGTAAACCCAGATTTTCTATGAGATAGAAAAAGAAGTGGAATTTATTTTTAATTGCTGGACATCCATACCTATAATTTTTGTATTTTCATGCATGAAATGCTCAGGGTTGTACAGTTGTAGGAACTGATTTACTGATCTGCCCCAAAGGGTGGATCACTGGAATAAACATACAGCAGAACACACAACATGACAAAGCCAGGGGCAGAGCTCAAACTCCCTCCTCTTGCAAAAAGCAAGAGCAGCACACCTTTCAAATAAATACAGGATAACACTTTTGGGCATGCTTTATATGACTTCCATCTCTTCTTTCTCCTTCTAGAATGATTCTCCTAAAAAAACCCAAAAAACCCCAAAATCAGTGGGTTTTTTTGGAGAGGAACTGTCTGCACTAAATGGGAAGGTGTGAATTAGCATCTTCAGCTTTTAAAGGGAAACAACTGCTCTTGTATATTTCCAGGAAATATATCTTTATTAAGATTTTGACACTGCATACTTCTAGCCACTTAACACTGATTTAAAGTGCTGGGCTTTGAAACAGTGAATAATTCCCACTGATCTCAGTGGAAACTTGAAGTGATCAGTGATGGCTGCTCCCAAAGATCCTATTCTGGGCATTTTATCCCAGAAATGAACCATACTAAACTGACTCATTCAGTGTGGCTCTAGAATACTAGTGCAATACATAGAGCAATGTATAGACCTGACATAGGTGCCTTTATCACCGTATTTGAAGCTTTCATAAATACTTACAGAAAGACTCTTCAGAAAGCACCAAAGTAAAGTCAGAAGTTCAAGTGACAATTTCCTTTGGAAATCAGTGCAACTTCCTTTAACTGAGGGTTTTAGCATGCTTTTCTTGCCTAATTTGCTGCAAATTGCCATTTAAGTCTCTTTCCTCTTTCCTTTTTCCTTTTCCCTTTCCTTTTTCCTTTCCTTTCCTTCAGAATGTGTTCATAGTAGAGATAGGTAATGACTGAAGGAGGGGTGGAATGACACGGATTCTTTTCTTCCTTCTTTTCAAATTAATACATATTACATATAAAATAATAATCAAACATGTTACTATGCTGCCAGGTTGGTATGCTCTAATTTAATCCACTGACAGTTTGGTTTTCCTTTCAAACTTGAAGGATAATTATAATCTCACTGTTTTAATTTAACTGCATGATTTTAGACACTTATGGGGAGGCGTGGCAGAATGGAAGGCTACAGCTTAGAGGAAGACCAAAGGTTTTAAAAACCAACATTCTCTGCTCTGCCTTACAGCCTGCTCATCAAAAAGACACGTCAGAGTCCAGGTAACAGACCAGACTGTAAGCATTGTGTTTTCCTCAGGGTTTTTTTCCCCTGTGTTTTCCAAAACACAGTCCTGCAATTTCACTTCAGGCAGCACATCTGACAACTGGCACCTGTTTCATGAAGGCCAAGAAAAACGGGGAGAAACTACATAAAAAGCTGATGACCAGCTATGCTATCCTGAGGCCTCATGACCACCTTCTTTTTTCCCCTGGTTGGCCTGAGTGCAGGTTTAGCTATTTGATAAACAAATTTAACTGTTTAGATAGCAGAAACAGATCAAACCTTAACTGTGCTTCGCTTTGCTTTGCTCCTAGAGGGCATTTGTTTTGAGGCCACATTATTAAACTTGCCTTGTTTCCAAACTCAAAAGTCCTCCTGAATGACATTTAATCTACTTTCACTCAAGTAAAATCTCACTCCTTGTCTCTTCTCCCAGGTCTAACTCATAACTAGGTTTTAAACAATTATTTTGTTAATAAAAATCATTCTCTTAACACCTTAATTCTATTATTGACTCATGGGAATGGTTTAGATTCTAACCTCTGTCATCAATTTACAGCTCAGATTCTTAAGGAAGCACCCTGAAGGAGATGATGCCTATTACTCTCAGCTCAAGTATGTGTTGAACACACCTGTGCACTTAAAAGCTACTTACACCACAGAATTATAAAAAAACCTGAATTTTCTTACAGATACAGGCTTTGAAATTCCAGATAAATTTGTGGTTGGATATGCTCTTGACACTAATGAATACTTCAGAGATTTAAATTGAGTTGGTAATGCAGTATAGGTGAAGAGGAAATGTTTGTGCTTCACCTTCCATAATTCTACTCCACAAGTCTCGTGGCTCAGCCATGCTACAGGGCATCCTGAAGCCCCGGGATGGTGAGCAGCATACAATCTGCAGCCCCGTCTGGAAATAAAGTAACTTGTAATTTGGCTTTAATTGGATATTTGTCTGTCTTAGCTCAATCCTACGTTGCTCTTCTGTCACCAAGTCTTTAAAGCGGGCCGAGGGGGCGCCGAGGCTGGAACGAGCGGGGACCGGGGCCCGCCCAGCGTCACGGCCCCGGGCCCGGCCCCGGCCCCGACAATCGGGTGCCGCGGTTGCCGGGTAACCGCGAGCGGCCCCGGCAGCGTCTGTGACAGCGCTGCGGCCTCAGTCGCCGCAGAGCGCGCTCCGGGCTGGCCGATGTCAGCCTGGGCTCGTGCTACGGCTACACTCAGCGATTCGTCAAGTGAATTGTTCGGAGAGATTAGTCTCTGCGAGCGAGTCCTGAACTCGCAGAGCATTGGTCTCTGCGAGCGAGTCCTGAATTTCGTTTGAAGGTAAAGATTGACTAAAGTTGTACTTTTTGGTTTTGTCACATCTGTGCTCTGAAAGAGAATTCCAAAGGGAAATACAGGATGTGATAATGCCAGTGTTCTGGTGCAGCAGTTCAGTGGCATGTACAGCTGAGAAAGATATATGGTCTACTGATTGTGCTTTTTTTCACTGAAGAAATGCAACGTTTCCTAAATATACTAGTCTATACAGTTTTTCCTATAGTGATTACTTAAACTGCTTAAAGGTGAATGAGTTCTGTTCAAGTTTCAGTAGGTTGTTATGATCTGGTTATTAAAATTACTAGGGAGATGCCCCTGAATTAAGGTGCAAACGAGACCATATGCCAAAGTCAGTAGTCTGGATTTTATGTAACAGTAAATGTGAGGAAGAGACAGAGAGAAATAGAGAAGGAGGTTGGGGAGGGGGAGAGAAATAGAGTAACAGATAAGTAGAAAGTATCACCATTGTGTGGATGCCATGGCATACCATTAAATCCTCTTCTGGTCTTCTCTGTGGTGAGGTCTCCCAAAACCTAAGACTCCAATGGATTCATGCAGATTTGGGCAAGGTGGGACTGCTCAGGTACCTCCCTGGGGTGGGGCAAGTTGGACTCTGTCTCTTGCTACTTTCAAATAATATCAAATCTTTAGCACCAGTATATCCTTTTGAGTCTGCTGTGAATTGGGTTGTGGATTTTCAGATCTGTTGTGTTACTTTGCATGCCATGCAGTGATCTGGTGCAAGGGCTCAGGAATGGCTCTGGGGGCACTTTGGAGGTCCTTGATGGGCTATGACACCCCCTGAGCTGCCCCTGATGGGAATGTCCCCTGGATGTGGCCTTCTGGGGGTGGGGGGTTTTAGAGCTGAGCCAGTTTGTGTGAGGGAGGATGGGTGTCCACTGCCTCTTACCAGAGGTTGGGCCACAGAGCCAAAATTTCCTCCTTCCCCCTCTGCTGATGGGAGGTTTGTGTGCAAACCTCCCATAGTCTGTGCTATGACTTCTCCTCCCTGAAGCCAGACAGAGCTGATTTTCAGGACAGCTGCTAGGTTTGGCTTTGTTGTGGACACATTTTTCTCCCTTAGCCTTATTCACTTCTCCCCAGGCCTGAGCTAATAGATCAATAGTGTCACCTTTATCTTGTCTCAACTTCCTGTAGGTGGCTTAACTCACAGTCCCAAGTTCCAGTCAGGAGGCGTTTTCAGGGAGGGATGGGCTTTGGTGGTCACAGCTTCTTTATACACAGCTTTGGTGGTCACGGCTTCTTCTGTCACAATGGGCAAAAAGTGCTTCATAACAATATTTAAGCCATTAGGCATAGCATTCTGGTCTCTCACAAGTCCTGTGAGGAGCAGCTGAGAGAGGAGGGGTTGTTTAGCCTAAAGAAGAGGAGGTCCACTCTAGCTATTTTTAAGTAATATTTAAGCTACAGCTTTTTCTGTTCTAACGATTATTAATGTTCAGATTTTTAGCTCCAGGTTTCAGTACGATTCATCTTGGAATTGCACAAGGTAGCCATCTAGTCCAAATAAAGTCCAACTAGAGGCCTAACAGTACTAGTTACTTATGCCAAACAAGCACTCAACTACTTTCAAAGAATGTAAAAATTTTAGCACCAATATATGCCTTGAATCTGCCATGGATTGGGTTCTGGATTTTCACAGTTCCATTGTTGCTCCCTCCAGTTTTGTTGAGGCATTGTCGCTCGTCTGCGACATCCTCCCTTGAAAATGGCGTCCGGATTGCCAAAAACGACACCAACACCTCGTCTTTTGTCCCGGGAAACGCTGAAATCTTTTACTGTAAGTACCCACTGGGGCTGTGTTAAGGCTGGAAACTCCCCTGCTGTCCCTGGTGTCCCTGCCCCTGTTGTCCAGCAGTGCTGTGAAGCTGCAGAGCCCCTGCCCAGCTCTTTGTGCCGTGCTGCTGTTGGTGGGGGCTGTCCTGGTGCAGGAGGGAACACTGTGTGATGTTTCAGGGACAGCCCAGCGCCTTGCCTGGCTGTGCCACGGGAGCCAAGTGAAAGCAATGTGCAGCTGAAGCCCTAAGCATGTGTTCTTTCCCTTTGCCACAGGAATTCCTTCTGTCAGGCTGGACACTCCCCTGAGCTGGTCTGACCAACCTGCCCTTGGGCCCCTGGGCATGTGGGGGGGAAAGCTCAAACTCTGCCCAAAGCCTTGAGAGCCACAGCTGGTCCCAGCCAGAAGAGCTCCCAAAGCAGCAGTTCTCTCTCAGCTCCTGGGTGGGCACAGCTCCAGCCCTGCAGGAAGCCCTGGAGTCAGGGCCACAAAGGTCCCTTGCTGTCTGGAGCTCACTGGGCTGAAGATGCCCCACTGCTGAGGCTCTGGCAAGGAGAGATCTCTGTTTTCTTCTGTGGAGGGGCCTGTGAGCCCAGGCAGAGAAAACAAATGCTAATTAACAGAGGGAACTAAAACTTGGACACATTCCTGCGCACCTCACGCTTGGTACAACTTTGTTTTCTTGCATCTCTTGGACTCACCCAGCAGCGGTATCTCCTTGCTGTGAGTTTGGAGTGTTGTGCAGGGATGGAGTTTGGGGAGTTCTGAGAGCTCCTCCCCATTCTCTGAAAAGTTCACTGTCTCAATCCAATGAAACATAAGAGGAAACAAATGCCCAAAGAGCAGAAGTCCCCAAACATGTCACATCAAATCATGGAGAAGCTAATGGGACACAGCCATGTGGTTGGAGTATGTGTATTCCACTCTTTGTTATTAATTTACTGATGCTAAGTATTTCAGCAGGAAACTTCCAGGGCTTCCAGGACTGTCTTAGTGGCTGTGATCACAAGTTATTCACCAGTGCCACTTGTTCAAGAAAAGCTTTTCTGAACAAGCGCATCTCTGAGGCTCTAACTGGTTTATTTTTGTCTTTCAGCTGCTTCCCTCTAAGTTCCTGAGGGAAAAGTTTCTCAGCGTGAAGAAGAGGGCCATCACTGGGGGGAGTATTCTGCCCAGAATTGGCCCACGTGTAGACCAGAGTGAGACTCATCAAAAGGTAGCCTTTTCCTGCTCTTTTCCTTTCTGTTTAACATGATGTTTGAAGAGGGTGTGTGCTTGTGACAGGCTTGCCTCCAGCAAAATACCTCAGTGTCCAGGTCCTGCTGTCATTGCAAGCTGCTGGCAGTGGTGCACTGGGAGTCCTGATGTGCACAAAGCCAACACAAATAACCTCTGCTTCAGCCGCTGGGGTGCGGCTGCCATTGCTAAAGCAATGGGGGAAGGCTGGGGACACAAAGGCACAACATTGGCATTTGCCATTCTCCTGCTGAAATTCTCCTCCTCTTGCTTTGGTGTGGTTACCATCAAATGCTCAGGGTCACAGGATTCCCTCCAGAGTGGCAGCGTTGGCCTTGGAAGGCCGAGGAGCTGCAGGAATTACTTCATATTTAGCAAAACAAATTGCATTAATGCTTTGGGTTGGAACAGTGTGTTGGGACCCGGATGGGGTGTTAGTTAGAGTTTGCAGGCTGCCAGACGTGCAGGGGACTCACCCTGGGCAGAGGGGAATGGATGTGCTTTATCTGGATCAGTGCCTACTTCAAGGTGTGTTTAAAGCTGCTTTGCTGGCAGGACTAGCTCAGTATAAAGCACAGTCCAAACGGGTAGGTGACTGAGTGGGCTGTTGAGCAGGAAATTGGCAGCAAGAGACATGGAACAAACTGGTGAAGGATTGCTCTGGAGAGGGGCATTGGGAACATCTCAGGGAGGGGCACAACTAAGGGACAGTGTGCTGCAGCCACTCCCTTCAGCAGACTGTGTCTCTGTGGAGTCACACAGGAGACCTGCTGGTGTCTCTGCAGTGACAGCAGTGTGGCTGCAGAAGGCAGACAAAGCAGGGGAGAGTTTTCTCAAAGCAATGTGTCTGCTCCAGAAGCATTTGCTTGTTGTTGTCACATCATTCCAGACATGCCTCTACAATGGTATTAAATAAGATAGCAATAATTACAAGAAAGCACCCATTTAAAGCACATGGAAAAAGGCAATGCCAACTCTACTTTTACCCCAGTTGCTGAGAAAACAACTGAACCTTATCCTCATTCAGCATTCACCTCATTTGTCTTTTTATTTTCACCTCATTTCTCTTTTTATTTTTGCCTTTCCCTCTGTTTGAAACGCACTAACTTTTAAGTACAATTAAAGGGGACAATATCATCGAAGCAAAAGAAAACTGTTCATTAGTAATGATTCAGCTGAGCCGGGTGTGTCTCCCTCCCTGAGAGCTGAGGACACACACACCCTCTGAGAAAATGGCAATCTTTCTATCCCCTCCATACCCAACCAGGGCAGTCCCTGTCCCCTGGATGGGTACTCATCCAGGAACTTCCATTCTCTACCAACCACCAACTTTTCTGTCCCCTCTCCTCCTACTTCCTTTTGGTCAGGTCTTTAACTCCGTCCCTCTCACTGCAACACCCAACAAACCAACCTGAACAAATCCAAACCACAAACAACACATAGAACCAACAAATTCCATTATTTTGCTTAGTGACCTTTTGGCTTCAGCAAAATATCACCTCATCTCACACCTCCTCTGGTACTGTTCTCTTTTTACTGCTGTCTAAGTTCTAGAGCAAAAAAGATATTTGCAGTTGTGTGGGCCTCGCTTTCCCTGTCTCAGAGTAAAGGGCATCCCAAAACGGTTTCCCATGGAGTCTCCTGTAAATTCATGCATTTTACTTACTCCATGAGTGCTCAGTGCCCCAGAGCTCTGTGACCACATGGGCAGAGGGCTGTGCTTAAGGTAAGTGCTGCCTGGCATTCTGGAGACGGAAACCTGGAGAAATGCATGCCAAAAGAGCAGTTTGGCTTGAACCTGCTCTGTGTGGCCCAGCAGGTGTCAGTCAGCTC